GGTCACAGGAAATCTTCCTCTGACCCAAAGTTCCGGTATTGGAGCATTTGGGCGAGTACAAATACCGTACTTGGTATCGGCGGCGATACTAGTTTCTGTGCATCCCTAGTTTACATGTTGTGTTTTATTATAGTTGTGCGTTTATCTACTGTGACGCCAAGTACTATGGGAATTAGGCAAAATTGGTAATCTCTTGTTCCGTTTGGATGTTGTAATAGGGGAGTTTAGAATGTAACAAAGCTGCCTTGTTTTCTGCTATCTTGGGCAAGACCTTGACATTTAACAAGACGTTACTGCTTTGTCTCACGTCTGTTAAAATGCATTATTTTTTTTCAGCCAGCAGATGTTGGCTTGTGCATATACACAGCTTTAGAAAACAGGCACAACTTTAAGCTTTCTTGATTGTAGATCCCATGACTCAAGGAGTTCTTGAATGAATGGATTATTCCACTGCCTTCAGGTGATTGGACACTAGTAAATCAAAGCTGTGCCATTGTGTCCTTTGGTGACAGATGCCTTCTCTCTGCCCTGAGGGTTGTTCACTGGGAGGGTGAAGACTGGATGAGGCGTATTCCTTTTAAATGGCTGCTCTGCTGGGTCACTGCCTCTCTGAGGGTTTGTAAGGCCAGGGCTAGTTCCTGCTAAAGGTGCCCAGAAAACAGCCCCTCTCTGCTCATTCTGTCACTAGCCCTCAGGGTCACCTTTACACCCTCCAGGGCACCCTACTCTACCCTTCTGTCCAGAGAGAAATTTACTTCAATATTGGCAGAAAATATGAGTAAAGTGTATGAACTATCGGACTCTACAGACTGCAGGAGGCCCAAAGCCTCTGACCTTTCTCGATCTGCTTCTACTATATACTCCGTGTGGAGGAAAATTGGGCTTCTTCCAATTATGTGGACCTGTCTCCTGAAATCTTTTCCAAGCTAAAGGATGTGATTTCTGTCTTTGTGGATGCAGTGTGTGATTGTTTACAGTTAGAGACACCTTCATTGGTCTTGCCAAAGGTCACCAGTATGGGTACTTTTAAAATGCTCAAACCTGACAAAACCTTCCCTGTACATGTGGTTTTTACAGCTGATGTATGGTGACTGGGATCCCCCTGATTGTTGACTCTTACTAAACGGTTTTGCTATCTATACCACAAGGACAAGAGACAAAACCCTCTCGAAGGCCCTATTTACCTTTGCTGACCCTTCTATGCAACCTGTGCTGTTGCCACCTTGAGTCCATCTTTACTGAACCTGTCGCTCTAAAACAGCTAGAGCTCTGTCCTGTGGATTTATGGGACTGTATAGATAGCCTTACATATACCCTTCGAAAAATCTCCAGGATGGGTCCCCTTTCTGCCCATTTGCAACAGATCCTATGGCCTAAATGCTGGGCTGTGGAGCTTCCTTGTAAAAAGTGCCCTTTACTGGAATTGCTTGTTGGGTTAAAGGAGAACTATGAGATGAGTGATTTCCACTCACCTCATAGTTCTAGCCGACCTGTGACAATGAGACTGTCACAGGTCGGCTCAGTAGATCGGGAGGTGAGCGAACACATACCGGCGTTCGCTCACCTCTCAATCCTGTCACGGCTCTCTGCCGTGACAGGGGGAGGGGCTGGATTCCCCTCTCCCCGCTCCGATCTGCCAGTGCTGACTGGCGGAACGGGAGGGGGCGGGTACAGCTGGCTCTGCCTCTAGATAGGCAGAGCCAGCTGTCAGTCACGCAGCTGGGCGGATCCCGTCGTCTAACTCGGCATCCGCTGCGGCATCTCAGTATACCGCGAGCTTTAGCTCGCGGTATACTGAGCTTAGGGTAACGGGAGGACACTAGTTTGAGCATTTTGGTCCCACAGAAGAAGTCATCCAAGCCTCCAACTGCAAAATCTTCTGCATTGGTATACCATCTGTATACCATCCTGCTTTTCTATCACTGGCTTTAATGGCTTGTCTGTTGAAGCCAAGGTCCCGAAGGACAGAGGCTATTTGGATGCTGTCATCCCTAGGCTTATGAAAGCTGGGAAGTTGACCTTCTGCAAGGTCTACTATTGCACCTGGAAGGCTTTAATCACTTGGGGCAAAGCAAGGAAGTTCTATTCCAGGAAGTAGTCCATGGGACACATCTTATCTTTTCTCCAGTTTAGCCTAGACCAGCATGTTTAACCTTGAATACTATCAAGGGCTAGATTTCTACCTTGGCGATTCTGTTCCACAGGTCGTTTGCCTCTCGCTCTCTATTGCAGAGCTCTGCGCAGGGAGTCGCTCATGTTGTCCCCCTGTACGCACTGTGGTGTCTCCATGGGACCTAAATCTAGTCCTATAAGCACTGCAGAAACCACCAATGAACCTCTTGTTATTGTTTTTCATCTGCTTTTAGCCATTTTTTGCTGTGTTGCCAGCCATGCTGTTGGACATGCCATCCATTGATGAATAACGGCATATAGTTACATAGTCAGGTTGAAAACAGACACAAGTCCATCGAGTAGTGTGATCTTTGATCAAGAAAATAGGATTTTTGTCTTGCCTGTAAAAAAGTGTTTCTTGGAATACAACACAGGACACAGGAACCTCCACTGCTTACTACAAATCTGAGGCTTGCCGGGAGTGGGAGTGGCCTGAGGGGTTATACAGACCTGTCGTAACAGCTTTGCTTTGCCAGTTTCCAATCACCTGAAGGTAGCTGCATAACCCATTGGTTCTGTAATTAACTCCCTATGTCCTGTGATAGGAGAAACAAAAATCCTTGTTTTCCTTTTATGGGTTCAAACGATGCCTCCCGATATTTGTGGGGCTACCACGATTTCCTGTAATCCCTTCTAACTGGGTACTACGAAAATCTGGACAGCAGAGTGGAGTGCATATGACGCAAGGTTTTGGGTAGAGACGTTTGTCTTGTAATAAAACTGAAGCTCATTTCTATATTTTTATTCATTTTAATTGTTCATTCTGTATGCTTAGCTTGCATTCACTTATTTTTTTTTTTTTTTTTAAACAGGTTGAAGATGATTTTGTGCTGGAAGCAGAAAAGGATAAATTTGTGGAGGAATTGAAGCTAATTGTTACCCAGGCCCAGGAGATCATGCGCACCATTCCAGCTGTGGAGAGAAGTGAAACCACCACAACAGAATCTGGCAGCCAAGTGAGTGGTTTTAAGACGATACTTTTTGGGGGAAATTTATCAAAACTGGAGCAGTTTCCCATGGCAACCAATCTCCCCCCCGTGCTGCTTTAAGGACTTACCTTAAATGATGCCTCTTGATCCGATCATCTTTCCAGTCGTTTTCAGGAGTCCCTCTGACTGCTGTGTCTTCTGTGTCCCACGGAGTCTGTGCGCGTTCACGCTGCCGGGCTGCCTGCATTGACTTACACTGTGTCTCTTCTCCTGGCCGAGAAACTCTACTGCTTATGCACCTACCCCATGTTCGATCCCCTCCCCGTTCTATAGGACCGGGAGCGATGCAGATTGCATCACTTCCGGTCCCTGGGCTGTCAGTTCTGGGCTCCTGCAGCCCAGCTATAACCTATTGAAGTGCGATCTGCACTTCAATAGCTTATTTCCAGTGTAAAGGTGACACTGAGGGTCTTTTGGACCCCCAGCATCACCTTAAAGAGGACCTGTCACCACCATCTGCTATTACATGGGGGGGCTTGCAAGCCCCCCCATGTGATAGCAGTCAAAGTAAAGTAAAAAAAAAAAAAAAAAGAGTTTTTAAAATTAAATTTAAATAAAATAAATCTAATAATAATAAAAAAAAAATTTAAAAGTACCCCGCCCCCGCGAGCACGCGCGTCGCCACGTAAACACGCGTCGGGTGCGCCTACGCATGAAAACGACGAACGCGCTACACATGTTGGGTATCGCCGCGCACGCCGGAGTGAGAGCAATAATTCTAGGGCCAGTATTTTGGGGTATCTCTAAATTGATGACCTGTGGGGGCTTTTAAAGTGTCTTTTATTGACTTTTTGGGGTACTGCAGTTTTTCGCCGTTTCACGGTCGCACGCAATCTGTAAACTGGGCATGTTGGGTATCGTTTTACTCGTTGTAACCTCATCTTTTATATTTCATTAAAAAAATGGGTAATTTGTTGTGTTTTGGGGCATTTAATTAAATTTGTCACTAAATTTTGGGGTTTAATAAGGAGTTGCGCTAATATTGCGCAACATAAAAATTTTCAACTACCACCATTTTATTCTATAGGGTCTTGGCATTCAGAAAATATATAATGTTGGGGGGTTTTACGTCATTTTCAGGCCTAAAATGTGGAATATAACATGGGTGCAAAAATTGAAAAAAGGGCCTCAGTCATGAAGGGGTTAAATTCCCCTCGAAGTTTCAATTGTTTTGAGATATTTAGATAATTACACCTCAGCACAATTAACCAGTTGACATCCGCGGTGTTAAACCCCCTTCCCATCCAGGCCATTTTTCAGTATTCAGCGCTGCGGTACTTTAACTGACATTTATTCCGTCATGCAGCGCTGTACTGAAATGAATTTTATACCCTTTTTTGGGGACAGATAGAGCTTTCTTTTGGTGGTATTTATTCACCACTGGGGGTTTTATTTTTTTACTATATTAAGGAAAAATTACCGAAATTTTTTTAAAAAAAACAGTTTCCCCTATATTAAATGATAAAACATTTATTATTACCCAATTTTTTGGTAAAATATAAAAGATGGGGTCACGTCGGGTAAAAAGACACCAAACATGTCAAGCCTTAAAATTGCGTGCGCGCGCGAAACCTCAAAAAACGATAATACCCAAAATTGGCCCTAGGCGACGCTTTAAAAGCTGTTACCGCTCATCAGTTTAGTGTTATCAGTGATTGATGGCCCTAAAATGATTGCTCTCACTGCGACGTTCGCGGCGATATGTAACATGTGTAGCGCAATTGTAATTTTTGCGCGCCGGGGCACCGGACGCGTATTTACGTTTATAGGCGCGTAAACGTGGGGGTGGGGGGAGTTAAACATTTTGGGGGTGTTTTTTCCCCTTTTTTTATATGTGGCTTTTATTTTATTTTCTTTTTTTGTGTTACTTTTCTTTTTTTTTATTTATATTTTTTTTTTT